GCTGGGCGGGGGCGCAGCGGCCCCTCGTGCTCCTGAGCAGGGCAGGGCCTGCATTTATGGCCGCTTTCGTGCAGTCAGGCTGTCTGGGCCCGCCGCCCCGCACGGAAGGGACGGAAGGGATCGGAGCCGACCGCGGCCGTTCCAGCCCCTCCCCCCGCGAAACTTGCCGGAGGGGAGGTCCTTCCGCAGAAACGAAAGCGAAATCGAAGCGGGCCGTTTCCCCGCGGCCGCGCGCGCCTGTTTACCGCGCTCCGGGCACTGGGCGTCTGCGCGGCGGGGGGGCGGCCGCGGGGGCGGAACCGCCCGGGGAGGTCGCGTCTGGGGGCGGGGGGGCGGCCGGCACCGCCCAGGACAGGCGTCGGCGACGCCATGGACCCCAGGCAGGTAAGCCGGCCGGGCCGCGCGCCCCTGAGCCCGCGTGCGCTGGGGCTTCGGTCGGAGACTCGGTGCGCGGGGCTGTGCGCGTGCGCGGGGCTGTGCGCGTGCGCGGGGCTGTGCGCGTGCGCGGGGCTGTGCGCGTGCGCGGGGCTGTGCGCGCGCCATGTTCCAGGAGTTCGCATCCTGCCTGCTAACTCCGCGGAGCCGAGCCGCGCGGGGCAAGCGGCGCCTGTGCCAGGAGGGGATGCGCGGGGTGAGGGTCGGGGCGGCCCCTCCCTCTCTGCGAGGGCCCAGCCTTCGCGCCTCGTGGGAAGCCGGCTTCCCTTCCCCGTGCCCTCTCTGCATCCTTCCCACTTCCTTAAGGCTTCTGGGAAGTGAAAATTAGCCTCTCTTACCTTTCGGAGCAGGTTTGTGCACGTCACAGCTGTCCTCATTGTTGCCAGGAACTGGCAAAGCCCAGACGCCCTTCGCCTGGCCGGGGTGTCTCCAGGCCAGAGCAGGAAGGAGCTCCCGGTGCCCCGTGGAACCTCCCAGTCACTAGGCCAGGCAGGGAGGCTGCGCTCAAAAGGCTGCGTACTCCTGGGTCCCTTTCCTCGACACTATGGGAAGAGCAGTTCTGGGGGCCCGGGAAGCAGATGGGGGCTGCCCGAGCCTGGGTGTGGGGAAGGAGCTGACTGCAGAGCACGTGAGAACGTTTCCGGGAGATGGAAAGGTTGTGTATCCTCATGGGTGGTAGTAACCGGGCTGTACGTGCTTTGAGTCCATACAGTCAAAACTCACAGAGTGTGGGGCGCCTGGGCCGCTCAGTTGGTTAAGCAACTGCCTTCCGCTCAGGGCATGATCCTGGAGTCCTGGGATTGAGTCCCACGTCGGGCTCCCTGCTGGGGGGGTGGTCGGTCTGCTTCTTCCTCTGACCCTCCCCCTTCATGTTCTCTCTCTCTGTCAAATAAATAAATAAAATCTTTTAAAAAGAAAACCTCACAGAGTACACAAAAAGGATAAACTTTATATACATAAGTTATACTTCCATTTTCAAAAGTTACGTATATTTTTTTCATTCTCCTCTTCCAAAGGATTGGGGGCCCCTGGCCTGAAGGAAAAGCCTCTCTTCACACATACCCATATATCACTCAGTGGAACCCATGTGGTACGGGTGGGGGCTCAGCTCTGGATCCTAAACGTAGGAGATTGGGTGAAAGTGAACGGGATGGGGCGCGGCCATGAAGTGGCTTGGGATGTTGAGGGACTAGGAAGGGTCCCCACGGGCTGCTTCCCACGGGCTCCCTCTCACTCCCTTCAGTGGCTCTCCCTGGGGCTGTTCGCAAACCATGCTCTGGCTTCGCTATTAGGAGACTTGGGGGGTGAAGATAAAATTAATAATCTCCCTGCAGAGTTCCTTAACATAACTATTTGAACAAATACACACCCATTCTTTCCTTCACACATCGACGTTGCTTCCTTCCTGTCTCTGGGTCCGCTCAGGGTGCACACAGGGGCACGTAACAGTGAGGCTTTTCCTTGTTTCCAGGACGAGCTTGGAGCCTACCTGTTCTTCAGCTTGCTTTTTTGTGGTTATTAATTTAGCCTTGTGTCATTGCTAGATTTTCTCCAGGTGGATATGAATAGAACGTAACACATTGTTTAAAAAAAAACAAAACACTGCTGTTCTGTGGCATGAATGTGTCATAATCTGTGGGGTTCCTCTTCTATAGACAGACAAATATTTTGCAGGTTTTAGCCAAGTAGCAGTGGGTTTACATTTAGCTAGAAGCTGACTTTAACCACTTTGCAAAATAATTGTTTCACCAAGGTCCCTCCAACAGCTAGTGGGGAAATCCCTGAAGTCCCCATAATTCAGCGAGGAGCTGGGCACTCCCCTTTGTGCCCACATACACTTTGGTCCCTACCAGTGTAGTGGGGGCGGGGTAGAGGGCAGCAGGAGGAACAATGAAGAGACAGAGGCTGCTTGTTGCCGCTGTCACTGATTCAGCAAATATTGGTTCAGGATCAGCTTGAGGGCAGGTGCTGTCTTCCGTGCTGGGAGCACAGAGATAACTGAGACACTGTCCTCGCCTCCTGGGCGTTCACTGTGAAGTAGACCGTGTCCCCCCCCATTAGCACTTGATGGAGAATATCGGGAGTGGGGCCGTGAGCATCCTTTCTGGACACTCAGTCTTGGTAATCGCCTCGTGATACACGGTGTGTACGGGTTGGTCCAACAAAAAAACAAACACAGCAGTATGACCAGAGGTAAAGGAACGGTATTGTAGGAGTTGAGAGGGAGGGGCTCGAGGACACGAAACACCCATGGGCTGAGTCACACGTCTCCAGAAGAAGGTGGCCTTTAAGGAGATCTCGAAGGAAAGGGTCAGACTTGTAATGGGGCCGTAGAGAAGCTGTCAGGCCCACTGGACTGGAATGTAGGGGTACAAAGATCAAGGCTTTGTGGCGGCCTGGTGAGAAGTAATTAAAGGCCGGAGCTGGAAAAAGATGCGTGTATGAGAAACTATGGGGTGGGGGTAGACAAGGTAGAGCTTAGCGACTGCCTAGTAGACGGGGGAGGTGAGGGAGGAAGGCAGGCGCAAAGCCTGCTTGGGTCTCTGCCCTGCATAACTGCGAGGAGAACAGCGCCGTCAATAGTCACGGGGATAGCAGAACGGGCGGGGTTGAGGGAAAGGGTTCATTTGGTTCAGAATATGTGGTGTTCAAGGTGGGGCAGGGTATCCAAGTGGACAGATCATGTAGGCATTTGGAAGTTCAAGTCTTGGCTTTGCAAGGCAGTGGCTGGAGGAAATAGAGGAAAGAGATTGGAGCACTGTTTCTTAGGAGTTTATGCTAGTTTATGTTGGGGGGTGGATGAAGTCGACCTGGGGGAGGAGGGTGAGTCCCTCCACACAGGTCCCTCCACACATGTCCCTTTCCTCCACACACAAGGGAAATGGGGACACAGAAGAGAAGGCGGCGTGCGGGGCGTTTGTAAGGAAGAGCCTCTGTCCAGAGCGTGTTTGGGAGCCTGAGTGGACCACCAAGCCGGGGAACGGAATCCGAGTGCAGAGGAGGGCGTTCCACCGCCCGGGTCCTTCTCCAGCACCTTGGGGGAGCCTCCGTGCGGGAATGGGGGAAGGGCCCGCGGGCAGAGGAGGGAACTGGCCGTGAGACCCGGGCCGAGTGGGGGCGTGTGTAGGGTCAGAATGAGGAAGGCTTGGGGGCTGCTGACCCACAGCCACAGCGGCCACTCACGTAGGGGCTCCCCAGGAGTCCCGAGCAGAAGCAGGAGATGCACAGGGAAGTGGCCATCGGGAAAGAGCAGGACTCAGCAAACTCAGCCCACGGACCCTGGGGCTCATGTGTCATCCCCGGCTGCCTCTGGGCCACAGCTGCAGACCCAGTCGGTCCTTCCCTGGGAGTTTCAGGGTTTGAGGAGCGGGTGTCGCCCCAGCTAGCGGAACAGGGAGAATGAGTGAGGAGTGGACCCGCCACTCAGGTGGCCAAAGGAGGGAGGTGGTGGTGAGCGTGACTAGCGGAGCACTCGGGTCCCCAGGTCATGCCCGGGTGTGGGGGGTGACGGCCACAGTTACTGAAGGTGGGCACAGCTGCCTGCGGTCGCTGGAGCTTTCAGGACCTTCAGATGGGGGGCGGGGGGAGTGGACAAGCATGAGGAGATGTTGTTGCTAGAGGTCGCCCCCCCAGGTCCCTTAAATACCTCCTGCCCCTCTCCCCTCTCCAGTGAGCAGCTCCGGGGACAGGATGAGCGCTGCCGTGGGTGGGGGCAGGGGTCACAGGTGCACAGTGTTCTGGGAGGTGAAAGTTCAGGGCAGCCCGTGTCCTGGGGAACAGGATTCTGAAGGACGGGGGTGGAAACAGCGCTGGAGAGGGCAGTGCAGGAACTTGGGGGGTGACACCAAGGTGTCCAAGACACCAGACACCTGTGGGAGGCTGGGCGGTGTGAGCAGAAGTGCCCAGTGTCTCTTCCAAACCTGGCCACCACACTAAACGTGAAGACGGGGTGTCCTTCCTTCCCTAAGGAAATCATCCATCATCCCCCCCCACCCCCCCGTCCAAAACCAAATTCCGGGCTTCCCGGGGAGACAGTGGCAAGCAGGTGAACCTGTGAGGTTTGCATGTGGGAAGGTGCGCCCTCGTGGCCTTGGGGGGCTGGGCTCCAGGTCGTCCAGCGCACGGGGGTTTGTTGTCCTGCCCAGGGCACGTCCTGATCCAGGGCTCCCTGGGCATTTTTACGTCATCGTTGTGTTTTTGTTTTTAAAACAAAATAACATTTATTTCTTTGTTTTTATCTTAAGAGGGTACTTACTTTGCAAAGTGGAAGGATTTGTTTCAACCCCCCAGAATCCTGCCGAGGCAGGAGAGTGCTCAAGGCTCACGGGAGAGGCCCAGATGCCCTGGCCACCCCGGGCACCCCTGACGGCTCCCCGTTCGGCCTCCCGCTCCCCTTGCTTTTCTGGGTGGCGGTCCCTAGGCAGTGCCGGCTGGGTCACACGCCTACCTCTCCCTTGCCTCTCCACCCCTCGGGAGGCAGGTGTGGCCCCCCAGGCAGAGAGAAGGGACAGACAGGCTCACCGCCCAGGTCCTTGTTCACATTCTCTTCCCTCTTCTCTCTGCAGGGGTGTTCACTGACCAGATCCCGCCCCCAGAGCCTCCGAGGCCATGAGCACAACAGGCCCAGACAGTGGCCGCCAGGGCCTGGATCTTCCCCGAATCTCTTCCAGCTCCAGCAAATAGAGTTTCTCAAGGGGCTGCTCCCTGAAGCCCCCCTAACTGGAAAGCAGACGCCATCACTGCCACCGCTGGTCTCCGAACTCGGGCCGAGGTTTCCAGGACTGCCTGCCGGGAGCAGGGAGCTGGGGGCCTGGGGTGTCCCCGCAGGCGTGCCTCCCAGACATCAGGTGCTCCCGAGGGCGTGCCCGCGTCCTCCCCAGCGCGGCCGCTCTCTGCCGTGGAGAGGTGTGGACAGGCTCTCCTCGCACTTCCAGGAGCTTGGTATCCGCCAGGGCCAGGACGAGAGAGTCTCGGAGCTCGTCCTGCAGCAGCTCGGGGAAGGGACGGTTGCCACGGCCCATGGTCTGGCTGGGAGGCTTGGAGTCCCGAAGAAGGAAGTCAATCGAGTTCTGTATTCTCTGGAGAAGAAGGGTCAGCTGTGTCGGGAGGCAGGAACGCCCCCTCTGTGGAGAGTTGCCGCTCAGGCCGCGAGCCGGCACAGCCGGGTAGCCAGCGCCCACGGCCGCAGCTGGGAGGTGCCCGCCTCGGAGCCCGGTTTGGAAACTGAAGACGGAAGCTCCGAGCCTGGCTTGGAAGGTCCTCCGGAGCCTTTGGACATGGCCGAGATCAGGGAGAAAGTCTGTGACTTCCTGTTCAACGTGTGTGGCGCCTCCGCCCTGAACGTGGCGAAGAACATCGGTCTCAGCAGGGCGCGGGATGTCACCGCCGTGCTCGTTGAGCTGGAGCGGCAGGGCGACGTGTACCGGCTGGGCGCCACGCCCCCCGTGTGGCACCTGACCGACAAGAAGCGGGAGCGCGTCCAGATGAAGAGAAACGCGGCCGCCGTCCCCGATACCAGAGGCGACGCGGCGCCCCCCTCCCGTCCCCGGGCCGCACCGGACACCTCGGACAGTGTCGCGGCCGCCGCGGTGCGGAATGGGCAGGAGCCGGTCCTGAAGCTGGAGAGCAGGCAGGAGGCGGCGCCGGAGCCGGTGAGGCTGAAGCCGCCGGCGCACGACCACGGCCCCACGAGGACAGGCTACGTGGACTTCGAGAACGGCCAGTGGGCCACAGACGACATCCCGGACGACCTGAACAGCATCCGCGCCGCGCCGGGCGAGTTCCGCGCCATCATGGAGATGCCGTCCTTCTACAGCCACGGCTGGCCGCGGTGCTCCCCCTACAAGAAGCTGACGGAGTGTCAGCTGAAGAACCCCATCAGTGGGCTGCTCGAGTACGCCCAGTTCGCCAGCCAGACCTGCGAGTTCAACCTGCTGGAGCAGAGTGGGCCGCCCCACGAGCCTCGGTGAGAGACCACCGCCAGCCGGACCCGCACCCCTGCCAGGCAGCCTCGCCCCTCGCGGGGCCCCCGCCTCTTTCCTTGGCCTCTCTGTCTTGTGGGGAGCCAGGGGGTGGCTGACCCTCAGGCTGGAAGCAGCTTCCTCGAACCGGCTTCCGTGCCTCGGTGTCATGCCTCCGAGGGCTGGAGGTCGTGGAGCCTGGACCCCACACTCATGCCGGGGTCCCTCCCTCCTTTCCCTGAGCTGAGTTCCTGGGACAGGCACAGAACAGGTGGGGTGGCCTGGGGCGTGCACCCGGGAAGCAGGAGCAGGTCCCCAGGCGGCTCAGCTCCCCTGGGGACCAGGTAGTGTGAGCGTCCACAGCGGCCCGCCTGTCCGAGGTGGAAGTTACGTGCCTCCTGACCTGTGCAGTCAGAAAGTTCCTTGCTCCACCAGCCAGCCAGGCCCCACACGGTAGGCCCCTGCAGGCCGCTGGACAGACCGGGGGAGACGGGGGGCTGCCCAGATGGGGCTGCTGAAGGCCAGAGGCCTCATGCTGTCCCCGAGTGGGCCATTGGGGGCGGGAGAGAGTCCCCTTGCCCTCTAGGTTAGTGGGCTGGTGTCCAAGGGCGTGGCTTTCCAGCAGTGACCCTTGCTCCTTCTGTCCATCATCTTCACTTCATGACAGAGATAGCCGGCAGGAGCGCAGTTTAGATGGGGTGTGTGTGTCGAAAGCCGGCAGGGTCAGGACTGCTCTGTGTCTGGGGCAGAGGCCAGGGGGGCATCGTGCCCTCTTTTCCCTCCACCCCCCACCCCCCAGAACTGGGGGAGAGCAGTAGGTTTTGTGGTTAACCTTTTTTTGGATTCCAGCTATAAGAAACGTTGGTGCAACGTACAAATATTTCAGAAGACCTAAGAAGTTTGACCCATTTTTTTCAGTGAAATTGCAGGTTGAGCAAATACCCAAATAGATTTGAAAACTTGAGCACTGGAGGTCCAGGTTAAGTCCAGAGACCCAGACGAAGGCTTTTTGGTCTTTTCTGTGACCAGGGGCTCTGGACAGATGGGCCTTAGGTGACTCAGACCCAGCCGTAGGGCCCGGTCTCCAGGGAGTGGGGGCAGGGGCAGACCCGGGGCCAGCAGGTGCCTCGAGTGTGAGGCCGTGCGCATGACGGCGGGCAGGCTCGGGGCTCTGTGCGTGTGAGGCCGTGCGGAAGGAGCTTTACTGTCTGCAGGACCTGCCCCGGCAATAGCCAGTGGACCCGCTACTCCAGAACGAAGGCTGCCGGTCGCTGCGGTGGTGGCTTTGGCTCGTGTTTTCTGTGCGTGCTGAGAGATGGCAGGTCTCCCCAGAGCTGTGTTTGCTCTGATGAGCTCTGGGAGGAGTCCCTGGCTGCCGTGTTTCTGGAAGGTCGGGGCTGAGGCTCCAAAGGGACGGGAGCCCCCGTGCATAGCAGGAAGGCCCCAGGGTGCAGGGCCCCGCAGGGGTGGCGGCAGGGACGGCCAGGCCCGCACTCACCCATCTCCTCACTTTCAAGATTTAAATTCCAAGTCATCATTGGTGGCCGAGAATTCCCCCCGGCGGAAGCCGGCAGCAAGAAGGTGGCCAAGCAGGACGCGGCCCTCAAAGCCATGACCATCCTGCTCGAGGAAGCAAAAGCCAAGGACGGGGGAAGACCAGAAGAGCCCTACGACTGCTCCCCAGAGAAGGGGTCAGAGAAGGTAGGCATCTCGCCTTCTGGGGACCCCATGCTCAGCCCCTGCCTTGGCCCCACTCCCCTGCCCCATGCCCAGCGCCCCTGCTTGCCCACCTCCCAGCACAGCTGGGGTTAGACCGCCAGACTGGAAAGCAGCCTCAGAGACGGCCGAGTCCAAGCTCCGTCGCTGGCAGATGAGACACGGGACGCAGGACGGCTTAGTGACGCGACCTTTGCTGCTGTGCCCTCCACCTCCCTCAGCCCTCTCCCTCTGGGCCGTCCGCCCCTCGCGTGGGGTTGACCCCTCACCGGTCTCGCCGCCGGGACACAGCAGCCGTGGTTTCTCAGCCGTTTCTCTCGTCTCTCGTTTGCTCCAGTCAGCAGAGTCCCAGCCCAGTGCCCCTTCCGCCGCAGCCTTGTTTTCGGGGAAGAACCCGGTCACCACCTTGCTGGAGTGTGTGCACAAGCTTGGGACCTCCTGCGAGTTCCGCCTCCTGTCCAGAGAAGGCCCCGCCCACGACCCCAAGTACATCTCTCGCGTTGGGCATCTCTGCCCTGCTTTCCCAGAAGAGAGATAACGCCCTCCTCGCCTTCCGAGGGGCGGCCGGTCGTCCCACTGAGCCGACGCCTGTCTTCCACATGGGAAGCGGGGGAGCCGCGCGGTGTGCTCACCGCCGTGCTGCAGACAGCCTGGGATTAGGACCTCAGAGGGTGACGCGGGGACCAAGCGCTAGGGAGCCGCTTGGCCTGGCGGTAGCTGGTGGTGGGTCTGCAGACCTGGGTGTCCCCGGGGCTCTGCACACTCTGCATCCCGGAAGATGGCTCCTGGAGGAGGCCTCAGGGCCCCGACACGTAGGGCCGCATGGGCCGAGGCACAGAGAGGCCAAAACAGCTCAGAGAGGCCGGTCCACAGAGGCGAGCGGTGCCACTCTGACCCAGCTCCTCTGTGTCCTGCCAGGTTCCAGTACTGTGTGGCCATGGGAGCCCACACCTTCCCCACCGTGAGTGCCCCCAGCAAGAAAGTGGCCAAGCAGATGGCAGCCGAGGAAGCCATGAAGGCTCTGCACGGAGAGGCCACCAGCTCAGCACCTCTGGACACCCAGGTGGGCCATCGTGGCGACCCCAGGACCCAGCACTGCCCCTGGCACCCCCCAGTTTCCCCCGTGTTCACGGTTCCTCCTTGTGCACTGACCCCCCTTCAGCCCGGGGGCGCGAGCACAGAGCCCTTCGATAACCTGCAGTCCGGGCTGCCCAGCAAGGTCCGGAGGATCGGCGAGCTCGTCCGGTACCTGAACACCAACCCCGTGGGCGGCCTGCTGGAGTACGCCCGCTCCCATGGCTTCGCGGCCGAGTTCAAGCTGGTCGACCAGTCCGGCCCTCCGCATGAGCCCAAGTGAGTGTCTCGGCCCCGCATGGCCGCGTGCCCAGAGGGGAGAGGATAGGCTGCCCCCGGGGCCACGGGCGGGCCGGCCTGGAAGATCCCGTGGCCGTCTAGAGAGTACAGTGGCTCCTGCAGCAGGTGTGCTCCGCTTTGATTATTTTTGATTCATATTTTTAAAGGTTTTATTTATTTATTTCACAGAGAGAGAGATCACAAGTAGGCAGAGAGACAGGGGGAAGCAGGCTCCCTGCCAAGCAGAGAGCCCTATGCGGGGCTCGATCCCAGGACCCTGAGACCATGACCTGAGCTGAAGGCTCAGCATTTAATTTCGTTTTTAAAGGAATACGTATGTGCGTAGAAAATCATTCAGGCTCCTTGAAAAAGTATGCAGGGAAAAGTCTCCTTTCTACCTCAGGCTGATAGTTTCCTTCCCCACAGTTACACATAACCAGCTTCTTTAGTACTTCTAGAAATTTCTATGCATATATTACTTTTTCATTTTGCTTTTTAAACACAAGTAAGTGTAAAGCCTATTCTCGTGCATCCGACTCCCTTACTGACCAGCGTGTCTTACACGTCGTTCCATGTCTCAGATGCACACACCCGTCACAGTCCTTTCTGTAGCTGCATATTTCTGTACGTTTTCTAAATCTTTTTTTTTTTTTTTTTTTTTTTTTAACATAAGCTCAGCACCAGGGGGCTTGTCATGAGCCCAAGACCAAGAGTCGCCGTAGCCCTGGCTGGCCGGGCACCCCCACAGCTGCGTATCCCGCAGCACAGCTGCTTCCGGTGTTAAGGCTGTTTGGTTGAGCAGGAGACACAAAGGTCTCTCCTGAAGCAGACGCCCGCACCTGTCGCCTGGGCTGGGGAAGAGGACGTCGCCGTTGCCGGCGCAGCCCTCACTTTGGCGGGTGCGGAGCGGTCCCGCTGCCGGAGGCGGTCTTCGCGCTCTGCCTGCTCGCGAGGGCGGTTCCGGGCCGTGAACAGTTTTCGAGGGGTTCACTCTTTGTGTAGGTCATACGCGCCTTAAAATGCAACGCAAGAGTCTTGTCCCACCCCCTCGCGCCCCGACACGCCGCCGCGCGGTCCTCACGCCCCCGTGCGTCCTTCCTGACCGTCTTCCCATAAACGCGAGCCGCGCCAGACGCGTGTGTGCCCTGAGCCCTGCGGCTGTTCATGCGTAACAGGGCGACCTCGGCGAGGTGTCCGGGTCCCGCTCTGTTCTCTGTGGGAAGGTGCTCCGTGGTTCCCCAGTGCACTGACCTGGGCTGTCCGCCAGCCCCTTGTGACCAGTGTGTGGGTCATTTCCACACTCTGGGACACCCGTGAATGACGTCTTCACGGGCGTCTAAAATTTCGGTAGACGTTGCCGAACCTCCCCGCAGTGAGCCTAGGGCGGTGGACGCTTCCATCGGCCGGGAAGTGGCTCGCCCCGTCGTGCCCATGCGGAGGCAGGGGACGCCCTGCAGTCCAGAAGGACAGAGCTCGTTTGGGATTTCCTGCCCGGCCCGTGCTGGGTGCGGTCTTCACTTCTTGCCTTTTTTCATAGGCAGAAATCCTCTTCAGATGTTCTTTGGTTGGTAGAAACGGGTAGTCACGTAGGTCTTCAGTAAAGGGGGGTGGCGTAACGTGAACTTTGGAAACGGGACATCTGAACCAAGTTTTTCCCTTTGCTGTTCTAAAACGTGAGAAATGGGGTCTTGGTGCCATGCAAAGATTAGTCTGTGTCAAGATATCGTTATTATTTACCAAATAATAAGGACGAAGCTCAGAGTCCTCTCCAGAGATTCCAGAAAGGCTTTTAATAAAATCCAACGTCCATTCAGATTAAAAAACCAAGCCGTTAATGAAGTAGACGTGACCGCGCACCTCCTTAAGAGCGGGGTCACCACGTAGCTCTGAAGTCAGCCGCCAGGCGTTCGCTCCGCATTGAACAGGGAGCTGTTGGCGGCAAGGTCGGGACACGGGGGTGCCCGGGTCCCCGTGCTTCTCGGCTCCCCGGTTCCGCCAGCCCGTGAGGACAGAGAAGGCGGGGAGAGGACGCTGCCGTCCGGACTCGTGCCCCTGAGCCCCGTGCGAGTGGCGGGCGGGCACACCCGGGCGGGGGGAGGCGGGAGAGCAGGGCCTTGGGAAACAAGGGCAGATGCGTGTGGAGGAGGCGGTTCGCAGACGCGGGAGAGGAGGTAGCCTGTCAGCAGCAGCGGCTGAGCAGGCGGACGATGCCCACTTTCTGAGCAGGAGACGCCGGCTCCGGGGCCCTGTGATGAGGTAGAAAACCTGGTTTCGTGACGGCAGCTGGGCCCTGACGAGTGCTTACGCTTCACGTGATCCTCCTGGGGACGGGGTGGAACGGACTTCTTGGGGACCCGCAAGACCTGATTCCCGGGTTCATACGGGGGTCCGTGTGGGGCGCCTGGGTGGCCCAGTGGGTGAAGCGTCCGCCTTCAGCTCAGGTCAGGATGCGGGGGTCCCGGGTCCCCTGCCCAGCGGAGTCTGCTTCTCCGTCTCCCTCTGCTGCTCCCCCTGCCTGTGCACGCTCTGACAGATAACTGAAGTGTTCGAAAAGGGAAAAGAAAAAGAAAAATCCAGGAGAACAGCCAGAAAGTTCTGAAGGACCTGCTTGGCCCGTGGCCCGGGCCGGCTCTTATGGCAGAAGCGGGGCGGTGGGGGCTGCCCACCGTGTCTCAGCAGGACATCGCTGGTGTCTGTCTCCGCGCCGCACGTCACCTCGAGTCCAGGACTTCAGCGTAAGGCAGGGGCGTCCGGCTGGCTCGGTGCTCTGGGTTTGAGCCCCAGGTTGGGTGTAGAGATTGCTTAAAAATAAAATCCTAAAAATATGTACGTAAATCGTAACATCACAGGTGAACGTGGGGATTTTCACCTGAGGACATTGGGAGTGGCAAAGCCATTCCATGAAATAAAGTCAGGAAGACAGAGGTGTGGGCATCAGGAGAATTGGGGTCTTAAAAGGCCGTCTGAGGGTAAAACTCCGGGGGCTGATGGCTTTATAAGTAAGGGGTTCTTTGCACCGAGAGGCGCGTGAGCTAAGTGCACACGTGCTCAGTGTGCTCACGTGTCCGTGAGGGGTCCTCCGAGCGTCACAGCAGGGAGTGGAGAGCAGTGCTTTCAGGGTGGGGGCCGCCCCCGGGAACCCTCCCGCACCCTCCCGCACCCTGCACAGCAGCTCTGCTGTTTCAACGGACAACCCGAGGTGGTCTGCGGACTGGCGAATCGTGGGGCGCGCCCACCCCGGCGCCGCTCATGGTGTGTGCCAACGGGCCGTGGAACACCAGTGGGCACAGCGGGGGCTCAGGCAGGGCCGGGATGCAGGCACGGGGCCACCTCTGCGAGAATGGAAAACTGGGCCCAGTGTTTGCTTCTGGAGATGAGGGACGCTTCCTCCCCTTCCATACTTAGCGACCGGAACGTTTGCTTATGCGGTAACCCGCTGCTCAGTTTTTTGGTTTTTTTGTAAGTATTTACTTGACAGAGGTCACAAGCAGGCAGAGAGGCAGGCGGGGGGGGGGGGGGGCGGGGAGCAGGCTCCCACTGAGCAGGGAGCCCGACGCAGGGCTCGATCCCAGGACCCTGAGACCATGACCTGAGCCGAAGGCAGAGGCTTAACCCACTGAGCCCCCCAGGCGCCCCACTGCTCAATTTTGAAAGGTGGTCACAGGAGAAGAGCTCACGACACAGTGTCTTATTTTGAATTTGTCTCTGTAGTAAGTGATGTTGACTCATTTCTTCACGTTCACGTTACCTGCGTTTCTTGGATATGAACCACCTGTTTGTGTCCTTGTCTGTCTTTTGGCTCTGACTTCCTCCCGGGAGAGTGTGAGCCCGGTAAGAAGGACTTGAGGACACTGGCCCAGGGCACCCGGAGGGCCTCCTGGCCTGTGACGGGCACACTGGCTCGCGGGGCCTGCCCTTGGCGCCTAGTGGCCCTCCCGTGTCACCAGCCTCGCCCCTCACGCCTTCCTTCTGTCTGGCTCCTCTCCCGCTTGCGTGAAACCCTCCCTCGGACTTCCGGGACTCATGCAGGATTTAAGAACTTACCAGGAGTGAGGGGAGGGCGTGAAGACCCCCGGGGCTGCGGGCAGGGGCCCACCGTAATGGCTCTGCGACAGGAGAGTACTGCTTCCCTCTGTCTGCCCTTCCCAGCGACCGTATGTCAGTATCTCGCTGCTGGAAGGCACCAGCTCTGGGGGCCGAGACCTCCACAGGACCCCGGGCTTCCCCCAGCTTCCTTGTTGCTTCAACTGGGCTCAAGTCTGACCCTCCTGAAGGAGAGCTCTTGGGTTTCACCTCTTATGCTCTTTTCCTCTGGTCCTTCCCATCTCCACGGGCGACCTCACTGTCCCCCCAGTAGCTCACACCAGTGGCCAGGTGTGGGTCATCACGTCCAGCCCCTTCAACCCTCCTCGAGGAGACCAGTCTCAGGCTCTGTCTTAGACTTCCTGCTCTCCAGACCCTCCCCTCCTGCCTCCAGCGGCCTCTCCTCTCCACTACACTCCCTCCTTTGTTCATGCGTCCAGAGAATGTTTCTGGTCTCCGTTCTGTTTGGACAGGGGCCAGATTGGAACCAGTGATCCCCTAGAGAGACGTAGGGTCTCCCGTCTCGTGTATGTTCTAAGGAGCTCGAGGCGCGTGATGGGTTGCAAGTCTGCTTGGCGTGGCCTGACTTCTACGGACGGGTGCCGCGCCGCGGTCTGGGGATGGCTGGGAGAAGTCGGAGTTCTGGGCAGGGCCTGGTTCGGCGCAGGCCTGCGGTGGGAGGGGAGTGAACCTGCCAAGGCGGGAGGCCCGGCCCATCCACACCGGCCACAGAAAGCCCCTAGAGACGGTCTCTTGCTCCCTGCTGCCCTTGGCCGTCTCCCCAGCGTTTTCACTACTGGTTTGTTCTAACTTCTCTGTCCCACTCTTCAGATCCCCTCCTTTTTATTCAGGCTTTCACCAAAACCCTCTTCTTACTCCCAACCAACGCCCGTCTGCACTGCTTCATTGAGGAAGGGGCAGCAGTGGCAGGAGAGACGCTTTCTCTTCCCATCGCCTCACGTGCCTGCCTGCACCTGCTCTGCTGTGTGGGTCCCCCCCAGCCTCGCCCCTGTGCCCCTCACCACCGCAGCTCCTCTCGTTTTCGGGGTCTTGGCTTCCTTAACTAGGTGTCCCCAGCGTGCCAAGGAAAGGCAAACCACAGGCCTCCTACGGTGACTAGGCACAGGGAGCGCAGCTGGTGGGGGTCCCGGCGTCCGACCCCCAGCCTGACCCCAGCCTGCGCCATGTTTGGTCCCCACGTACAGCGGCCGTTTGCTGTGTCCACAGCGGTTTGCTCACGGGGATTGTGGAAGCCGGCGCTGGGCCGTTTCTCCAGCGGCGTCTGCTCACGCCAGGTCTTTGGGCTCATTTCGGTGATTCTCACAATGTCTAAAATTCTCCGTACTCAGCAACCTGTGATCTGTGGTTACGAGTCACTGGAAGCGCAAACCGTGGTTGGCATCGTTTGAGCAGTGAAGTGCTTTTTAATCAGGGACGCGTGTTGTCTAGATCTGAGGCGTTGCACACCTGAGAGGCTCAGTAGTGTTAACCCTCACTGCTGTTGCACTGGAACACCAGGAAGTTGGTTTTATCTCGCTTTATTGCAACACTGGCTGTACTGTGCTGGTCCAGGACCCAGCCCGCGACGGCTCCAGGGGACGCCTCTGTGTGTGTGTGTGTGTGTGTGTGTGTGTGCGCGCGCGCGCGGAACTCATGTTCTTTTCAAACGCGTGGAACAGACGTGAGATTCTCCTGAGTCTCAGGCAGGACCCCACTGCCTTCCGGCATCTTTCACGCCATGTCCCCTCCCCCTGGGGCTTCTGTCACCCTCCAGCCCGCTCCCAGCTACTGGCTGGCATGAGGGGACGCATGAGGCACGTCGTGGCTCAGGAGCCCGGCCCCGAGCCTCTGTGTACCAGGGCGCCTCGTCGGGGCTCAGTGGCCCGGTGTGTCCCTCGGTTCTGGGGCCCCTCTAATCTCCGGCGAGGGACTCAGGACGCCCACACGAAGCGTCGTGTCTCAGCACGTCTCCCGCTGAGCTGAGCGTGGGGAGCAGACAGGTGGCATCTGTCTCTGCAGAGGCCTCCGTGCGAGTCCCGGGGCCCAGGTCCGGGAAGGGCTGCCTGACGGACAGCCGTCCGGTCGGGCGCTTGTCTTCATCCCCTGCTTCTCCTCCCAAAGGTTCGTTTACCAGGCGAAAGTTGGGGGTCGCTGGTTCCCAGCCGTCTGCGCGCACAGCAAGAAGCAGGGCAAGCAGGAAGCGGCAGATGCGGCCCTGCGCGTCTTGATTGGGGAGAACGAGAAGGCAGAGCGCATGGGTTTCACAGAGGTAACCCCAGTGACAGGGGCCGGTCTCAGAAGAACTATGCTCCTCTCCAGGTCCCCAGAAGCACAGCCAAAGACAGTTAAGACGTCGACTCTTGGTGCTCTCTCTTTATGGGGTCCTGCCGACTCCTCTCTGGGCGGACTTGGCGCTTAACTCGCCGTCCTGGGCCGTAGTCGGGGGCTGTGGCGGGGGCCCTGGTGGCACGCGGAGCTGGGCCCATGCGCGAGAGCCCTGACGCAGCCTTGTGCCCGCAGCTCCCGCTCAGCGGCAGCACGTTCCACGACCAGATCGCCATGCTGAGCCACCGCTGCTTCAACGCGCTCACCAACAGCTTCCAGCCCTCGCTGCTCGGCCGCAAGATCCTGGCCGCCGTCATCATGAAGAAGGCCTCCGACGACCTGGGGGTGGTGGTCAGCCTGGGCACAGGTCAGGGAGGCTCACTGCCTAGGCCCCGGTGTGGGGGGCAGGGACGGGGCTTGAGGCGGGCTCCATCCTTAGCCCCCCACAGACTGCCTCTGCACCCCCCACCCCGGGGTGTCTGGGCCCAGGCCGTGATCTCAGGGTCCCAATCTCTGGGCAGTGGGATCCAGCCCCTGAGAGGTGGGATCGGGCTCCACGGTCAGCGGGGAGTCCCTTGTCCCTCCCCTGCCCCAGACCCTACTTGCGCTCCCTCTCGCTCTCAAAAAAGGAAAAGAGGAAAAGCCAAACAGCCTCTAACCTGTTTGTCTTCATTTCCTGGGGAAGGATCACGCTTATTGTCCCCACCTTCCAGGGAACCGCTGCGTGAAGGGGGACTCGCTCAGCCTGAAGGGGGAGACCGTGAATGACTGCCACGCGGAGATCATCTCCCGGCGAGGTTTCATCAGGTGGGTGGGCCGGGGGCCGCCCGGGTGTCTGCACCAGGCCCTCTTGGTCCCGTCGGGGCGCGGACGCCTTCCACCTGCGTCTGGGGACCCCGGCAGCCCCTTGCCGGCCCTCCTGCTCTGCCCTCCAGCTCACGGGTTTAGCAGGTCGGGGGCAGAAGCGAGACCGACCTGAGAGGCCGGCTGGCTTTCCGAGGTGTCCGGGCCTCGGGCAGAGGCCTCCCCCAGTGGGGGGCCGGGCCACAGAGGCCACCGCGGTCCTAGTCACGGATCCCCTTGTAGGTTCCTCTATAGCGAGCTGATGAAGTACAACCCCCAGACGGCGAAGGAGAGCATATTTGAGCCTGCGAGGGGCGGAGAAAAGCTGCAGATAAAGAAGAGTGTGTCGTTCCATCTGTACATCAGGTCCGTGTGGTCTCTGCTGCCCCCAGAGCCAGCCTGCCAGGCCCCGGGGTCGGGCGTCCGGGTGCCATCCCGGCCCGTCAGGCGGAGCCGTTCCCTGGGCCGCACTTGGCTCAGCGGCCTGCAGGAGGCTGCGGGAGAGGCCCTGGGGACTGGGGAGGTCCCCGCGCAGCTGGGCTTTCACGGATGCCCTGTCCTGCAGCACGGCCCCGTGTGGGGACGGCGCCCTCTTCGACAAGTCCTGCAGCGACCGCGCGGTGGAGAGCTCCGACTCCCGTCACTACCCCGTCTTCGAGAACCCCAAACAGGGCAAGCTGCGCACCAAGGTGGAGAACGGTGAGTGGCGCGCTCCCTCGCGCCCACAGGAAGGCTCCTGCTGGGAGGGGGTGACCTGGGGACAGGGGTGCGGCGTAGAAGGCCAAGATTCCACTTGGCATCTGTAGTCGGGGAGCTGCGCAAGTCAGGTAGGAGGCAGTGTGCCCACCCGGCTAGAGACAGAGGCGTGGGAGTCCCCTTCCCATCCTTGATCTTCCCGGCCGGGGGGCAGGGGGAGAAGGGACGTGGGACCGAGTCCGAGGAGTGACAGAGGTGGGCACCAAGTGTGCAGCTGCGCAACTGCCTTCTGTCTGCCGGCCCCTCCTCCAGGGCCCTTGGTCGGGGGCTGTCTCCTCATCCCTGCCCCCCCCCACTCAGGCCAGGTCACCTCCCTGCTCAAAACCCACGGAGCTGCCCAGGACCCAGCAGCTCGCTCCAGGGCGCGTCCCCAGGAGAACAGACGAGTGCATGCTGGTTCCGAACGGCGAGGGGTGAAAGTCACCCCAGTCTGGCCGCTGGCGAGTGACCCAAACGGGGTCTGTCTGCATGGTGCGGTCGGCTCGGCCGTGAGAGGGGTGCAGTGCTGGCTCCTGTTACAACACAGACGAGCCCCGAGAAGGCAGCCAGTCCCCAGAGGTCCTGCGTCTCGTGCCTCCGTTTGTGCGGAATGTTGGGAATACAGAGCAGGGCTCCCTGTGGAGACAAGAAGTGGATGTGTGGCTACCTGGGGCCTGGGCTGGGAGGGCTTGGCGCACATGGGGATGCTTCTTTTGAGGGCAAGGAAAGGTTCTAAACTTGACCATGGGAAGGGCTGCACCCCTGTCAACATACGAAAAACCATCGTGGCTTTAAATGGGTGAATTCGATCTCAAGTAGAGCTGTCCCTGAAAACAGCCACACGGATTCCCACCGCCCTTCACACAGAAGCCAGGCCTGCACACACGCACGTGCCTCAAGCCCACTGGCTCTTTGTCAGTAACTTGGACAGCCCAGCCTCTCGCTGCCACAGGGCCTTTGCTTGTGCTGTTCTCAGTGTCTGAAACTGTCATACGCAGCTGTTGCTTCTCTCTGGTGTCTTTGCTACCCTGGCAGTTCCAACCCTGGAGGCCCCCCCACTGTCCACTGCCGTCCCTTCTCCCGGCTCCGAGCACTGCTCCGTTCAGAGTTCTGTCTGTACTGCTTCGCTTGCTTGCTGTGGGTCTGGCCCTTCCAGCCCCACCCCCATGAACGTTCCAGGAGCACAAGGATCTTCTGGTTTTGCTTCCGTTGTTCCCGCACAGAGTAGCGTGCCCAGCACTAGCCGGTGCGGTCTATGAAGACTGACCGCGCACAGCCTTGGCCCACGTGGGAGGTGTGCGAAGGCCACGCCGGGAAGGGGCCTGGCCCAGGGGCCCGCTTAGCTCTGACCTCGGTCCCTCTGCAGGGGAAGGCACAATCCCGGTGGAGTCCAGTGACATCGTGCCCACGTGGGACGGCATCCGGCTGGGGGAGCGGCTGCGCACCATGTCCTGCAGCGACAAGATCCTGCGCTGGAACGTGCTCGGCCTGCAGGGGGCGCTGCTGACCCACTTCCTGCAGCCGGTGTACCTCAAGTCCGTGACGCTGGGTGAGGGCCGCCGCCGCCGCCGCCGCCGCCCCTCCCCCGCCCCTCCCCCGCCCAGTCCCGCCCGCACACCTGCAGCCCGAGTGCGCCTGCGGCGCGGGCAGCAGGACCCGCCGCCTTGGTCCCAGCCGCCCGCTCGCACGCCCGCGCCCCGCGTGCGTCCGCCTCGCGGCGGCGCCCCACGCTCAGGCGCCCGCCTTTCCCGCGCAGGCTACCTCTTCAGCCAAGGGCACCTGACCCGCGCCATCTGCTGCCGTGTGGCGAGGGACGGCAGCGCCTTCGAGGACGGGCTGCGGCCCCCCTTCGTGGTCAACCACCCCAAGGTGCTGTAGCTCCTCCCCTTGTCTTGATGTTGGCTGGGGGGCTCGCGGGTGTCCCGGGAGCTGGTCCTGTCGTCCCGTCGGACGCGGGGGCTTCCCGCTGGGGCTGGGACCCGCCTGAGCTGCGCTGGGCCGCGTGGGGCCAGAGTCTATGCCAGACAAGCCCCGGCCGGGAGGAACGGCCCCGAGCCGTGCGCCCTCTTGGCCCCGGGGCCCTGCGGCGGGGCCTTCCGGAAGGCCTCCATCTGCCCTGTCGCTCCCGGGACCTCTAGGTGGGCCGCGTCAGCGTCTACGACTCCAAGCGGCAGTCGGGGAAGACGAAGGAGACGAGCGTGAACTGGTGCCTGGCGGACGGCCGCGACCTGGAGATCCTGGACGGCACCCGAGGCACCGTGGACGGGTGAGGCGCCGGCGCCTGCGGCGCGCCCCTGCCCGCGTTCCCCGCCTTCCCAGCTGCCCGGGCAGTGACGAGCGGCTCTTGTTCCTCCAGGCCGCGGAATGAATTGTCCCGGGTCTCCAAAAAGAACATCTTCCTCCTCTTTAAGAAGCTCTGCTCCTTCCGGTGCCGCAGGGACCTGCTCAGACTGTCCTACGGTGAGGCCAAGAGAGCCGCCCGAGACTACGAGGTCGCCAAGAACTACTTCAAGAGAAGCCTGAAGGACATGGGTTACGGGAACTGGATCAGCAAGCCTCAGGAGGAGAAGAACTTCTACCTCTGCCCCGTGTGAGGGGCCAGGGACGGGGGACCCCGGTGGGCTGGAGCTCTCCTCGGCGCGTCTGTCTGGAGCCGTTCCTTTCCTCTTTTCTTTTTCTGGCGGAAGCACTCCAGTGACACCAGGAACTGGGGTGTCCCCGGGCCCTGCTTCTGCCGGGGGCCAGGCCCGCCCGCCCACCTGCCCCCTGCCCTCTCCACCGGGAGGGAAGCGCGTCGTCCCCTCTCGCCCACCACATGAGCCCCCCAGCTCAGGCCCCTGCTTCCACCCCGTGTGTTTGCCGCACCCACGTCTCGGCGTCTGGGTCAGGCCAGGCCGCGCCGAGTCCGGTCAGGGCTGGAGGCCTCTGTCTCCCTCTGCCCTTGGCGATTCCCTCCTTATGATCGTTGTTTCTCCTTTCCTCCGCGAGGGCGAGAGGTGACTGTCATTCAGTGAAGCAGGTGTGAGGACAGGAGCTGACGAGCGTGCTCAGTTCATCGCCAGGCCGGGCCGTTGGGAATCGCAGGGGGCCCTCGGTGACCTTTGGGTCTTGCACTTTAGCCAGTGGGGGGCTGGGCAGCAGGGAGGGCTGGCCTCAGACTTGAGCCCACAGGAGCCCCGCAGGGTGACACCAGCCACCCCGCCACGCAGACCGGCCTCGTGGGACCACCGCCCCCACCATTCTCCAGAAGCATTCCTGGGGGGTGTCCTGCTGGCGGGGACACAGACCCCAATCCCTGGCAGGGAGAGGTCCTGCACCGTGAGTCCCCTCTGCCCTGATAATCAGGACTGAGAGGATGGGCGGAACAATCACGCAGGGCCGGGTCTCCACGCCGCTTCCTCCCTCCCTCCCTCATGACCGTGACACAGTGGGAGTTGGCCAAATCATGGGTGTGTTAGTTTTTAAAAACATAAATGTTGATTCTTAACTGCTACAGAGAGCCTAGAAGTACACAGATTTTAAAGTCAGATTTAGTTTTTCATTTACCCAAGACTTCTGTCTGCCAGAGAGTTCCAGAAGGGCAGGCCTCGGGCTGTCGTGGGGGGGGGGGGTTGGGTTTCTGCAGAGTTGACGCCCTACCCCAGTTGAAACCATGTGAGGTGGAAGCCTGTCTACACCCCCGGCCAGCTCCCTGGAGCTCGCCTCTGCCCACGCCAACCAGACCTGAGCCCGCCTCTAGGTGACCCCTTGGTCCCTGCCCACCAACCAGGCCAGGCCCTCGGGTGACCGTCCCCCCACCTCGCGCCCCACTCACTGCTGACGAGGCAGCCGGTCCGGACCCATCTCCTGCAGTACGTACCCGCACACTCACACTCCGTTCTTGTGGCCACTATTCCCTCTGTGCTTCTGACCAAAAATTGACCAAAATTTAAACAAAAAAACCAAGTGTTTTAGAAGGATACTAAAGAAGTCTGAGGAACAGCCAGGTGTCCCAAGAAGCTGGGCGGGACCAGGGCTTGTGTTTGGGGGGCGGAGCCCGCCCCCTCCCCCCCCGGGGCACCCTACCTCGGACCGGGAGCCCCAGGGTCGGCCTCTGCTGCAGGAAGGGGGCCCGCGTGCCCCCAGGACAGAGCCCCGCCCCAGTGCTCTACTTTCTTGTCTGATCTTTGTTTTTAGCAACCAGGACGCCCTTCTTCCTTTTTTTAAATGGTCTTTGTAGTTGATTTGTCCGAACTGTGGCTGTTGTGCACTCTCTGAATAATCACTTGTGAAACCGTCGCTGCTCGAAGCTACTTCCTTGACTCAGGAGCGACTGTGCCGGTCTGGGTCCTGGTGCGGCTCCAGGAGCAGGTGGGAGGGGCCCAGGCACGGACTCGGCACGGGGGGCTGCCCTGGGGTCCTCGATTCGGCTTTGATGTGTCCCTTGACAACCGTGACTAACCGTATACATTCCTCGGAAATAAAGAGAATCTGAATTGTTAGGGCGTCTCCAGTCGTGGCTTCCCCAGGGAGGGAACATGGGGGCAGAGGCACCGCGGCCCTGCGGTTTCTGGGGACGGAGCCCCAGCCTGACACCTTGTCCTTGGGGCGGGAAAGCCAGCACATCCCACAGCACGCGCAGCCCTCGTGCTCTGCTGGGGCGTCCGTCCCAGCCCCTGCCCCGAGCAGCAGGAGGTACGTATATACGGGGGCTCGGGGGGCCCAGGAGCAGCCGGGCCGTGGTCTCGGGGGCAGGCGCTGCCAGTTTTCCGCATGACTTCCACAAAGAACGCACCCCCCCACACACACTGCCATTCCTGCCACAGTCTCTACCACATCCATCCGACCTTTTTAGAAGCGCTGTCCTCCCAGAGGACACACAGTCACGGTATAGCCTCCTTCCCCATCCATGACAGATGGGACAGCTGAGGCCAGGAGGGCCAGTGACGAGTTTGGGGGCACATTAAGGACCACAGCTGTGTGTGGGTGTCATTCGTGGTCCTCCGAGACCCAGAGCTGAGTCAGCTGGACAACTTCTGGAGACGGGGAAGGAGATGTCCCCCCTGCAGGGACGTATGGGGACCCCTCAGGCCGCTCCTGCCCCCCATCCCCGCCGGAGGGAAACTCTACCCAAGTCTTCAGGACAGAGCCCCTTTCACAACGAACACGAACGCCAGCCCCCGTGCGGAGGGGACGAGCCATCTCCATTGCCCACTCAGAGGGGCTGGGACACAGGTCTGCCCGTGGGAGTGTCATCAGCTGGCACTGTCTGTTCCCATCACCCTGCCTTCCTTCAGAGGCCACAGCTGAGTGCCACTGCCGGGTTTGGGACCAGAGCAAACCAGGGTTCTGGGGACAGGTGCGGCCTCCACATAGACCACAGTCTTGACCACCGCATGCCCACGCTGTGAGGAGACCCCGGCCGACCCTGCCTCTGGGGCCTTTGTTTAAGAGCCCCCCGCCCCCCAGGAGCTATTTCTGGGCCTTTAGGCCATTTCTTTCCCATCCGCTGAGTGCCCTTGTCAGGGACTGGTCACAGCCACGGTCACTGCTCCCCTCCCATCCTTGTGCTTTCGTGCCTCTGAGCCTTGTTTCTCCAGCCCCGCACCCCCCCGTGGTTCCCAAAATGTGCCAGACCTGACCACCAGATACAAGAGAGAGACAAGACAGGTTTGGAAACAATTTTCTTTACGAGAATCTTGAATTCCTAAGGGATCCGGCCTGAGGCGGGTTAGACCAGTGCAAATATTCCGGAAGCACAGAGAAGGGAGGCCAAGGCTAGTGTGGGGGGACGAGGGCTCTGAGCATGTGGATGAGGCATCCTAGCGACAGCTCCTAGACCTAGTCCCTCAGGAGCCGTGTGACACTCACGCTCGGAAACATGCGGCCAATTCTTACTCCAGCCTGGGCGAGTGACCGGCCGGCACCCGCTGGGCTGAGGGATGACGTGGCCTCGGCCCCTAGAAGCAGAGGCTGAGAGGGAGCCAACTGCACTCTGGCCAGGGGCCGATTCAGAGATGCCCCTTGCTTTCCCACAGCCTGCGCCATGGCCCAGCCGTGCAGACGGCTCAGCTGAGCGAGTCTCCTGTCGCCAGGGGCCCTTCCCTGCAGGCTGGCCCCCGGGCTGGGAGGAGACGGAAGTCGGGCCCAGATGCTGCCCAGAGCAGCCCCTGCCTTTCCCCTTCCCGCAGGCGCTGCCTTCCTCTTCCTCTGCAGGGCAGGGTGGCTGGGAGACCGCCTCACGTTTTCGGTAACTCCGCCCAGCTGTGGCGGCATGACACGCCCGGCCACCAGGACACCAGCGGAGGCTCTCCTGCTGCGGCAGCCCCTAGCGTCAGGGGCGGGCGGCATGCGCTGTCCCGCTACTCGGGCATCGTGGTTTGCAGATGGAGACGATGCCCGCCCGCTTCCCCAGCCGCCCCTCCCAAGCCCACCTCGCTCAGGCTCCCGCTCCAGGGTCTGCACTGCCCTCTCCAGACGGGGCACGGATTCTCTGCAGAGCCGGCCCCCTACGGAAGGGGCAGGGAGCTTCCCGACAGCACCAAGGGAAGGAATGATGCTTGTCCCAAGATTCCCAGTGCCCCCAGGGTTCAAACTGTCCCCACGTGGGGCATCACCTCATCTGAGCGGTGGGCCTCCTCCCTCCGCCCCTGCCCTCTCCCTCCTGCCGCTGGCACGGTCCCCTTGGAGTGGGAGGCACCACCCCGAAGGCCCTGCCCAGCTAACCCGGTCCCATGCGACCTTCTGTCCCCATGCGACCTTCTGTCGCCATGGCCTCAGTGGGCTCTGCTGCCCCCAGGTCACCAGCGGGAAGGAGCAAGGTCAGAGCAAGGGGCTTTCCTGAGTCGCAGCAACCCCCCTCCCCGCCTCCCTGGGGTCTCCTTACACGTCAGAGGCTCCGGAGTAGTGGGGAAGCCGCCAGCGGGACTCCAGCACCCCCGGTGACAGCAGGCTCGAGCACCGGGCAGGAAGCACTCCCAGTGGCCCAGGCCACAGCAAGGCACGCAGACAGCCAGGAGCCGGGCCTCGGGCTGGCACCCCACCCGCCAGATGGATGGTTCCTTTCCGGTTGCTCTTCGGGCTCCGGGACGCTCCCCCCACCAGGGCTCTGACCCAGCAGCAGCTCCAGCTTAATACAGGCACCTCTGTTTGCTGCCCGGGAAGAAGGTCTCCGCAGGCTAAGACACCCGCTCGGCCAGCCGGGGACACGCGCTGAGGCACACCTTGCCCCGCGGCTGGCGGGACATCCACAGCCAGGATGGGACGAGATCAGCCCGAGGCCCCGAGGGCCCACCGGTGTCAGGAGGAGCTCGGCCCAGGAACAGGACACCGCTTCCCTGAAGGTGCTTGAGGGAACCACGGCCATCAGGCCTGATGAGCGGCCCCTGGAGAGCCCCCCGGGCCGTGCTCCTCCAGTGCCAGGTCCCCAGACCCACAACGCTGCTGCCAGGGCTGGTTCTGCTCCAGGGGCGGTGGGGGGGGGGGGGCTGTGCGAGGCTCTAAGGATGGTCAGGCACCCCCCGCCCTGCTCTGGCCGCCCCCACACTGCACACCCGGCCAGGGTCCGCCAAGAACAGACTGGGCTGCTTCCTCCTCGCTACTGTCCCCACTTGGGAGACGAGGCCGCCGACGCCCAGAAAAGCAAACGGACTTGCTCGAGGCGGCTGAGCAAGCAGGTGTGAGCCAGGACTGGCATCCAGACTGAGACCGTCTGGTCCCGCGGTGGATGAGGTGCGTCCCCCCGAGCCGTCGGCACTGTCCCCAGCTCTGCCGCGCCCGCACAAGCAGGGCTCCAGCCGGGTTCCAGAGGACAGCGTGGTCTGTGTCGGCCGGCCCTCTGGCTGCGCTGGACAGATGGCCCCATCGGGGACCGGCCACCTGCTGGCGCTGAGGACAGGCCGGGACCACAGAGCAGAGCCAGCCACGTGGCAGGAGTGGGGGCAGGACGTCCATCAGAGGTCTGTCTCCTCGGCTAAGAGCCCAGAGTCCCCCAGCCGGTCTCCGGG